CTTGTCGAAAACCTAATTCTGCTTTATATAGAGTAAGTTTCAAGTGCTTAATATATAACCAATAAGTAATACTCAATAAGTTAAAGTGCTTATTGAATATTATAAGAATTAAGGCTTTTCAAATATCCATAAAATAAAAACCCAAAATAACTAGGTCATGTATTGGATTTTTGCCTCAAGTTTAGGTAAAAGTTTTCCGAATAATCTTATTAAATTTAAAATTAAATTATAAAGGCAGCAGCTGAGTATGATTCAAACCGTGGTGAAATCAGACAGGAATGTCGCCGTAAAAATGGTCGATCATTCGCAAGTTCTATCGCTTGCGCATGTTAAGAAATGTATATGAACAATCATGTGTGTAATTTTCATTAAAATCTAAGACATTAAGTTTATATATTATAGACAATAAATAAATGAAATGAACAAACATTACGTGTTTAATTTTATTACCGAAAGTATGAAAGTGTTTTGAACAATTTGAAGTTCTATCGCACGCAATCAAGTACTGCAATCGAGTACTGTGATGGCAAATCTGATTGGCCTCGTGAATTCCGACCCAATCAGATGTATGTGCGAGGAATTCATCACATTATTCGTGATGGTTATTGAGCGAAGATCGACTAATGTCGATAGCACGAAGGTTGTCATACAAATGAAGGTTGTGTCCCTTTCTTCCTCTGGTACTTAAACAAGATACCCCAGGTATGATAGTTACAATGTATATCTAGATGATGTTGTAAAGTTACAGAAGTTGTCAAGAGAGTAAAAATTTATTGGTGTTTCCGTCCGTTGATCAAAAAACCATAACACCATGTTATGGCGTGGTAACACAAGGTAAACTGGATGACCAAATGATAATCCTTACTTGGAAAATCAAACATAAATAAAAACAATAAATAAAAACACACAGTAGTTGACTGCGAAATTGTATATGGGCGGTTTGAATGTAAATTTTTAGTTCGCCGTCTACTGTTGAGTGTTATTTGTATCAATAATAATTGCATAAAATTTTAAACAGATATATGCATATTTATAAATCAAATATTGTGTTGTGAAATATATTTTACTCTGAATATTCTCCGAGTAGAATTTGTGGTACTTTAAATCTAAATCCAATATGTTTATTTTCATTAAAACGAAATAAAAAATGAAAACATTAAATTTGGTATCAAAAAAAAAATTTTCAGCAGACATCTTACAACTTTTTAATTATTTTGTTTTTTCAAAAAATGGCTTTACCAAGTTGTTGTGGAAAGTTTTCGTCTTCCCTTTTATGGAAATTCTTACATTAACCGTGTTGGGAACCTCTTTTACCACATAGGGACCTTCCCATTTGGGTGCAAATTTACTCTTCCTCGATTGGTTCTTCAGGAGCACTTTCTCTCCTATTCTAAATTTTCTTTCCTTTTTATTTTTGTCATAATATTTTTTAGACGCTAATTTCGCCTTCTTCTGATTCTCCCTCACTAACCCATGAGAACGTTGAATTTGATATTTCAATATTTGAGAATAATCATCGAAATTGTAGATAGGTGACGGCCTTTTCCTCAGCGTTACTGGAATCTCTACCTCAAAACCAAACAAAGTCCTACTCGGTGTTTGCTTTGTAGTCATGTGTACCATATTATTGTGCACATGCATGTCGTGGTGTAACCGCGGTGAAATTAGAACCATTATCCGTCACCAGTATCCGCGGTATGTTGAACTTTGCAATTATTTCTTCGAAGAAAGCCCGCGCTACCGTTACTGCTTCAGCATCCGGTAGAGCGACACAAATCACATATTTGCTAAAGTCATCTTGGAAGGTCAGAATGCATCTACTACCCCTTGACGAATAAGGCAATGGGCCAACTATGTCCATATAAACCTTGTCAAACGGCCTTTGAGGCGTGTCTGTGATAATCATGGGCATTCTATTTTCCCTCGAGCTTTTGTTTCTTTGACACCGCGAGCATGCCCTCACGTAATCCTTAATCTGCCTTTGCATTCCACTCCACTTAAATTGTTTTCGAATCCGGAAATATGTGCGAGTGGCTCCCTGATGGCCTCCCATTGGGGAATCATGGAATCTAGTTAGTACCTCTTTTATGTCTCTGGTGTCAGTCAGATAAAGGGCCTGATCCTCCCCTCCTGGATCACGTTCCTCTTCCTTGTTTGTATTGTTTGAAACTGTTGTCCCTAGCTCGGCATCGGCTACAGATTGTTGTGACGGTGCGTTGGTCTTCCCTTGATTTGCAGAATCTGTATTTTTTCCATCCCTTTCTGTTGAGGTTTTCGATCTGGTTACTACTTGAATCTCACTTGATTCAATTGGTAGTCTGCTCAGTGCATCCGCGTTTAAATTGGACTTCCCAGGTTTATAACAAATTTCGAAATCATATTCCAATAATTTTAGCCTAAACCGACCTAGCCTGGTGTCTTGGGTTTTTTGATTTGCCACCCCTCTGAGAGGTTTGTGGTCCGTGAAAATCTTAAAATACCTTCCCAACAGGTAAGATCTGAAATTTCTAGTTGCCCAGACAATTGCTAGGAATTCCTTCTCGATGGTGGAGTATTTTCTCTCTGTTGCACTCAGTGCTCTGCTTGCAAAATACAGTGGAAGATCCTCACCTATCTTTCCTTGCGAAAGAACGGCTCCCAACGCTTCATCACTAGCATCGGTCGTCAAAACGAATGGTTTGGTAAAGTCAGCATATTGTAAAATGGGTGGGTTAGTTACGGATTCCTTTAAATCATCCATTGCCTTTTGACACTCGTTCGACCAAACAAATTTTTCCCCCTTCCTCAGTAACTTGTTTAATGGTAGGGAGATTTTCGCGGCATTGGGTATGAATTTCCTGTAATAATTTACTAAACCCAGGAATGCTTGCAATTGTTTAATTGTTTTCGGAGAACGAATGTTCTTTACACATTCTGTTTTCGATGGATCAGGTAGGACTCCTTCACTTGAACATTTGTGTCCCAAATAAACCACCTCTCACCGCAGGAAATAACATTTTTCCGTTTGCAACTTCAGGTTGTATTTACGCAAACGTCGAACACCTTCCTGAGACGCTTGTCATGTTCCGCTAGATTACTGCCATATATAACAATGTCGTCTAAATAAACGAAACAGTCCAACCCTTGAAGCCCAGTTAGTATATTGTTCATTATTCGCTGGAACGTTGCTGGGGCTCCCGTCAATCCGAATGGCATCCTAAGGAACTCATAATGTCCTGTGCTAGTACTGAAAGCCGTCTTATCCCGATCCTGATTATCTAGAAGTACCTGGTGATAACCACTGGCCAGATCGAGAGTAGAAAAATATCTACTGCTGCCTAATTGGTCCAGAATCTCGTCAATCTTGGGAATTGGAAACACTTGTTTTATAGTTATATCATTTAGTTTTCTGAAATCGACTACGAGCCGCCATTTTTTCTCCCCAGCAGATCCCTGTTTCTTGGGAACTAGAATAATCGGTGAATTCCAAGGCGACACACTTGGTGCAATGACGTCGTCTTCCAACATTTTCTGTACTTGTTTGTCAATTTCTGCCTTATGAGCCTCTGGTACTCGGTACTGCCTAATGTTAATAGGAGGTTTGCCTGGTTCTGTAGGTATTTCATGTCTCAACGCAGTTGTATGAGACAGTTTATCCCCCTTAAGTATAAATATATCGCTATAATCTTGAAGACTGCCCACTATGACTTACCTCTCTTCTTCGTTGATGTTATCGTCTAATCTCACCGAATTCATCAGTAAGTTAAAACGCTCCGAGTCCCCTGCGCTGCTTAGTAAATTTACGTTCTGGTTTGATTCCACCTTTAATTCTTCATATAGCTCATAATTAGGCAACACTTGATTATGCAGCACTACCGCAAAGTCATTGGAATTTAATATAGGAATATGCCCTGTGTGATTAATCACTCGAGTGAGTGTGCCTCCTACGTATACATCTTGTGAGATTTCTTTTCGGCTCACTACTATATCTCCTGACTCGACAGATACTCTGATAGGAACTATTTTGACTGACCTAGCCGGAATTGTGATAGCCCTGGCTATACAAATTCGTCGATCACCCTCCGCTCGCGTGAGAGGCAATGTCGCCATCGTCTTTCCTTTATCCAAAAGAATCAATTTTTTGTGCACCGTGTCTGCTATGCAACGATTCCAAAGTTCGTCTCTACCTAGTAATCCATCAGCTGGTAAACTTGTACCTTCCGGAACTACGTGCATCCTAAAATTCAGTCCTGGTATGTCCTTGTGATGAATTATCACGGACCCCAATGTATGAGTTTTTCCTCCGAATGCCCCAACCAATCGTTTAGTATCACCTTGGTTTATGTTTATTTTTCTCTTTAGGGATTCAGGATTGATCAGACTGGTGTCTGCCCCTGAGTCCAACAAAAGTACTAACTGTTCGTTAATTGCTTGATCGCAAGGGTAAATAATGAAAGCATCATCGTGGCCCTCTTCCGTCGTATCACAACAGACGTCTGCGACGTGGTTATAATCCTGATCCCGGAAAATTTGTCGCTGAGAAGAAAATCTCCACTTGGTTTTACGCACCCTTGTTTTTAAATTTAATATTAACATTATAAATAAAGCCAATAATGATTGTATGATTTGACTCACAGATTCCTTTAGCAAACCTTTATGTTCCTCGTAAGTTCTATTTTCGTACTGAGGTGTATGGTCGTAGTAGTAAATCTGCGGTTGTTCTTTAAATGATACCTTCTTTGTGAACTTCTTCATGCGTTTTCTCCTTGACATTTCGGTCATATTGTAAGTTATTTTAGAGGTTCTTGACCTCCCCTTATGTGCCTCAACTGAAGGAGCTGAGGTGATTAAACTATTATCCACTTCATGTACTAAACCATTTCCGGGAGAGAATAACTCTTCTACTGAAATGCGTGAAATATCGCATTCATTTTGGGTATCAGCTGTTTTATCGCCTACCCTATGCCAATTTAGGTTTTGATCATCGGCTGTCCAACCCTTTGGCGGGGGTTGGGCCGGCTTTAGTTTCCCTGATTTGTAGACATCGTTCCCCGTCGTATCTCGGGGTCACGTATTCCTTGTGGTATGAAAACATTGGAGGACGTGTAGCCGTTTGGAGGCCGGTTCTCAAACCTACGAGGTTGTGGTTGCCGATACTCACGTCTGTATTGTGGAAATTGATTTGAAAATCCTCGTTCATACTGATTAGGGCCTCGGTTTGGTTGTTGGCTCAACCCAGAATTGCGAGTTGTGAAATTTGACAGATTAGACGAAGTAGTATTTTGATAATTTCTGCCATCTCTCTGAGGACGCGCGACTTGTTGCGCTTTCTGAAAACAAAACTGATTTTCCTCATGACCTTTAATTTGGCACTGCTTGCAGAACACCGTTTGTAGTCTTTTAAAACAACGCTCTTTCTCATGTCCAATTTTTTTGCAAAAACTACAAGTTTTCACGCTGGATGCGCCTTTATTAGCACATTTTGGCCCTATTTCATGCCCGTAATCTCCGCAGTTGACGCAATACGGCGTATTTTTCCGTTGACGACATTCCTCCCTTACGTGGCCTTTCTTCCGACAAAAAGTACAAGTCAACTGATCATCCACCGGTGACCTGTATTCTGACTCAGCGTGGTTGAAATTAACTTGATGGCCCTTCTTATATTCCTGTCTCTTCTCCGCCATCTTAATTAAACCAATTAAACTTGATTCCAGTAAAAACAGCCATAAATATTTAATTAGAAATTAAAACAACTTTATCATTCATGACTTCTAGTCGATAAATGAGAAAAAAAAACGACTTCCCAGTGAATATAGGATTCAACAGAAACAAAGAACAATAAAACCAAATGCCCAATATTAATAGACCAATCAATAAAACAACTTCCCAAAGATTAAGGTATTCCACCGAGAGAAAAAAAAAAAAAAAACAAATAAAACCCAAAATCCAACAGCAGTGGTTCTACTGCCTATGTACTTATTAGATCTATTATAGATCACTAAAAACGTTCTACACGCCCGACAACGGAAATATGTTTTTCTTAACGAATTCTGTTAATTTGTTATTTTCTTTTATAGAATTATAAACTTACGTTTAGCTATAAAGAATTTGACATATTGAACTTGTTATACATACAACTATGTTGTATGTATACAATGTTGTAAATTCAGTTTTAAATTTTTCCCCCAACGCACTCCTAAGTTCGTTACTTTTATTTAAATAAATTTTTTTTTTTTTAAAAAAAAATTTCGACGTTATAGTCGACTAAACGCGGATTCTAATAATATATTTTTATTAAGTTGCGTTACATAATAAAATGCTTTGTTTGCACTCTCATTTTTTTTTAAATATATACTTATAACCATAAGCATTGGACACATAAAGTTAATTGTTTTATCTAACAATAACATTGATGTTTATACCTAATTCAGTGACTAAAATGAAAGAAAACAAAACATAAGGCTATGAACAAGATTTTAAATAATGTTCAATATAATAAAAAAAATGAAATAAAATATACAAACAATAAACAAAATACATGATTTGTTATATTAATGTATACTATTGGGGAATTCGAATACACGAGATCGAAATACAACAGTTTTAACTTTAGCAGACTTTAGCAAGCTAAATGTTAAAAAATATTTTTTTTTTTTAATTATAAAAATATTTATTGAATATTTATATTTATTGAAATATTTATTGATATATATATATTTATTTATATACATTAATTGATATTTATTGATAAATGAATAAAAAAAAATTATATTAATACCAAGTACATATTTTAAATTATGTATTATTGGATTTATATAATAACCAAATTAGAATTATTTCATAAATTCTTTAACGGAAGAAAAAAATGTATAAAACATACGTATAGCAAAAACTCGGAGTTGCAAAAACTCAATCACTCACATTTATAATAAAGAAAGAGGAACAAAAAAAAAACATTGAAACCAATATTCGATCTCTCACTTACATTTCCAGAGTTTCAGTTTAAGTGCTGAAAACTCAACTTTCAATTAAAGAGTTACAGTTTAAGTGCTGTCAATTCATTTCCTTAGGTGTTAATTCATTAACATTTTAATTTAATTAACAAAGCCAACTGTATATAATGTCAACTGATACAATGTTCTGACGAGTATAAAAACTCTGTATGTCTACATTTACATACCGACACTGTTCACTGTTGACGTTCACAGCAATAAACTAAATATTCATAAAAAAAAAACTCAGCGAAGAAATAAACAGCCATAACTTCCATGTGGCTACTGTTACACATTTAGCCCACACAAGACAAAACAAAACAAACAAAAAAAAACACAACGATTATTATTACGACAAAGCATTAAAAATCGTGACATAAAAATAGATCAAACAACCAAACAAACGAACACAACGAGAATAATTCATGTCAATTGACATGAACACCCGCAAACAAAATTTTCTAAACACAACACCAGTAAACAAAATTTTCTAAATAGAAATATATACGTTTATTTAGCACATTTTTTTTTTATTATTATTTTACTATTTATTATTAATTCCTTATCATTAACTCTTACACACAAAAAAAAATAGTTTCCAAAAAAAAAAACAAAAAAAAAAATGTATTCTAATCAAAAACGTTTTCCATTCAAAAGGAATGCAAGAAGAACACGAAAATTCTAATTTATACAAATCATAATTCAATAAATAAATTATAAATGATCAATAAATTATAAATTTTTAATGATGCTTACCTGCATCCTAGCGGCTGCGCCAATTTGTTGTGGTCCCTATCGGTGTTGATATTACAAAAAAAACACGGGGAGTTGGGGTTCAGATCTTGTATATTTATTAGATTTAATCCCTACTTCAATGCTGTCGTCGCTTTGCTATGATCCGGATCTTCTGATGCCGACCTGTTGCTGCTGGTGTTGTTACTTCCAACTTAGTGGTTGATGGGATTACTTTCGTTAAAGTTGTGTACTGGTGTTGTTCTGCTTATACTTCTGCTGTGCCTCTGCTGCTTTCTTTGAAACAATTATGATCACAACCGAGTTAGTTTTGTTAAAGATTAGGGTTATTGCTGGTGGTAACACAGTGTTTTGTTCGGGAAACTTGAAGGTTGTTGTTGTTTTGACCAAGAATCACGTCAGTTCAAAAGGAGGAAAACCGAAGAAAAATGGAAAATGCGGAAGAAGATAAACCTTATGTTGATTAACTGCTGAAGAAAAACGAATTTTGGAGTACGATATTTGTTTTAAATTGACTGAAACACAACATTCTCGTTGCTTTTAATTATTTTAGTGTTCGCAATTGTGCTTTAACGATATTTGTTTTAGATTGTATTAACACAAAACGTTTTCGTTGCTTTTAAATATCTTGGTGTTAGCAATTGTGCTTTTGACCATATTTGATTCAGATTGTATTAACACAAAACGTTTTCGTTGCTTTTAAATATTTTGGTATTAGCAATTGTGCTTTTGACAATATTTGATTCAGATTGTATTAACACAAAACGTTTTCGTTGCTTTTAAATATTTTGGTGTTAGCAATTGAGCTTTTGACGATATTTGTTTCAGATTGTATTAACACAAAACGTTTTCGTTGTTTTTAAATATTTTGGTATTAGCAATTGTGCTTTTGACAATATTTGATTCAGATTGTATTAACACAAATCGTTTTCGTTGTTTTAAATATTTTGGTGTTAGCAATTGTGCTTTCGACAATATTTGTTTCAACAATTTAGAATCACTTGATTCAAGTTAGGGCTGTTTTCTATCACTCATAGAATTAACTTTACTTCACTTTCTTTTATTGCTTAAATTAACCATTTTCTATCTTGAAATCGCAAGGTAAAAATGCTTTAGAACCGTGCAGCCCGACTGTGATATATATGAACACTAGAACGTTCAGATCGCGCTATTGTTTTCGGTTTAGATCGTTCCTTGCGCGATGGAGACAAAACAGCAACTGCTAGTCAAAAGTTTCTGTACTTTTGAGTTAGCTTCCAAAGTAGCGTGTTTGCTGGTCACGTTTTGTAGTGTCAGCACATTCCACGCTCGCGTTGCGGGATCGTTGCCTTCTGCATAGTCTTATGCTACCGCATCGTAACATGAGACTTAGTGCCAAGGCTATGCTTGCATATTTATTTAATAACGGCCAAACCGTTTTTTCCACACCCTATCGTGCATGTAACCACAACATACATACATAAGTATGTTGTGCTTAATGATATCCTGGATGTTTGCATACGCATAGAAAAAATGCATGAAATTTTTTTCTTTTGCTTCAGGTTTGCATATTACCACGTGCATTATTAGCAAATGGTGACAGACAGACGGGTAGGGAAATCTTATGTTTCAAGTCACCGTTTTAAGTGGCCCTTAGACAGCAAGGCGCGTTGACAAACGTACGAAGTCTTCTCTTGTCATTACACATTAAATATACCAACAATTTTTTCAACACGCCTCCAGCAAACAATGCAAAATTTGTTCACTCATCAGTATTAAGGGTCCATTAGACAGCAGCGCTCGTTGTCAACGCGCGCTTGCCATTACACAAACAATTTTTTAAAAATTTTTTAAACACGCCCCAGATAAAACAACAAATATACTAAAAAATCGCTCTCATATTAGAATTTTTTCTCCTACTTTTCTCCTACTTTGTGAAATGCGAAATTTGTTTGTGTAATAGCAACATTTGAAATTTTAAGAAATGTGTTGACGAAAATCAAAAAATTTTGATATTTCTTCAACCACCCTCGTGTTTTTGCATATACAGTCGGATTTGGTCGGCATGCAAAATTTTATTTATTTTGAGGAGTAGAAGCGTAAACACCATTTAAATGCAAATATGAATGAATTGTATCTTTTATTTTAAATATTTGTATTTTCTACCTAGGTAAAATTTTTTAATTTCCAAAACATGTTATTAAGAAGAATTAAAATATTAATAACCTTGGGCTAAAAAAAAATAACCAAACATTAAATTACAATGAAAATTTTGTTTTAAATATAAATTGCATTGTGCA